CTCCCAAGCTGAGATCAGTGGGAAGCAGGGAGCAGGCAAGGACAAACGCAGCGCATCATCACCCTGGGTGTTCAGGATGAGCAGACAGCATTGTGAATTCCACGTCTGTTTAATGACTGCTAACAGAGCTTGTGAGAGATGTGTGCCTTGGGCACGAGTACAGCCGGAACAGGTCACACCTGTGGCGCTGATCTGTGCTCCTCTGCCAGCCCTTGGACCCATGAGCCAGCTGAGCCACAGCAGCTGGGTGTCACTGTGGGGAGCAGAGGCAAGGGGCAGTGGGGGCTTAGTCCCCAGTGGGGCAGGCTGGTCCCTGCTCTGCTGATGAGGCAACAAGTTTGAGCAACAACTTGTTTAAGCAACAAGTGCGTGAAAACTGAAGTTCTCCTTAACTGGTTAGGACTGATGGCTCACTGTGCTGAGTCCCTTCGGCAGGGACAATGAGGTCCCAGCACATGCTGGTAGAGAGCAGTGGGGCTCTGCAGCATGAGTGCTTCCCTCTGGAAGCTCAGGAGCCTCTGCCGTACTCAGAACTGCCCAAGGCTGCACCGTGCCTCCACTTTACCTCAGAATAATGAGAGAAAGGACAGGGGCAAACACTTGTCCTAAGGATGGCAGGCAGGAAGAGGAGGAACAGGTGTCCAGTGCTGGGGGCAGGGGAAGTGCTGATGCCTGTGCTCTTCCCTTGCAGAGAGGAGATGTACTACAAGGCTGTGCACAACACAGCCGTCCTCTTCCTGCAGAACAGCGCCGGCTTTGCCAAGTGGGAGCCCACGCCGGAGCGGCTGCAGGAGCTCGTTGCAGCCTACAAGCATTCGGGCCGGACCCTGAGCTCCTCGTCTTCCTCCTCCTCGTCCTCCTCCTCCTCATCCTCCTCCACAGCGGACAAAGAGCGGGAGCTGGGCCGAGAGCAGAGCAGCAGCCGAGAGACTAATCCCAACTAAGGCAGAGGTGCGAGGCAGCAGGGGAGGTGCCGTCGGCCCCGGGGCTGGCCGGGGCAGCAGAGACTGCTGAGTGTGCAGCACCGGCCCGGGACTCCTGCGCAGCAGCTCCACGGCGCCTGCTCTCCTCTGCGAACTGCACGCCGGCCCCCAGGAGCCGGGAGCGCCCGGCCGCCCGTGGGAGAGGAGGCTCAGCCGCGGCCTTCGCCGGGGGCAAGGGAGCCCAGTGTGGCGCGGCAGGAGGAGCGGCAGCCCCGCGACGCCGGAGCGCCGAGGGAAGGGGCAGCCAGAGCTGGGCAGAAGGACGGTGGGACAGATGGAGGGACGGATGGCAAGCGCGAGTGCTGGGCGCTGAGCGCCGCGGTCGGAGGGGCCCCGGCAGGAGAGG